AGTTTGCCTCTGCCAGCTGCTTTGGTTTTTCCTCCACCAGCCGCTTGGGCTCTGCCACAGTTGCAATCCCCAAATAAACACACAGGAGGCTATATTAATTATGAAACTGTTAGCCGTTTGCTTGGTTTCTTACTGGCTATCTCTGATTTAAGCATTTAATCCCGTAATTGTTAATCTAATTATTTATCATACCGGAGAAAGGGTCCGGACCTCTTACTTCAATGGCAGCTACATGATATCTGCCTGTGTCTCTCTTTCACAGAATCCTCCTCAACTCCTAGTCTCACCTATCTTGCTTCCCTATTGGCCAACAGTGCTTTATTGACATATACACAGGACTTCCCCAACAGGCTAGAGTTAAGAAAATGAGAACAGAATAAAACTCAACTCCTGACAATGTTCCACTAGAGATGACAGTTTAGAGGGAAAGTCAATCGGTCTTCTAGGTCGCCCTCCCTGCCAAAATTACCTTGGCCCTGCCTCTGCCCCTGGAAGAAATATAGTCCTTGTGAGTAGATGCTTTGATCAAGGAGTGTGATTTTGAATTATTACTAGAGAGAGAAGTTGAAGCACAGACTTGGTTGGTAAACATTACCCACTTGAGAAGCACAAGTCAGTAACTGTCACCAACCAAATAGTTATCTGAAGGCTTTCAAGGGTAAGGGCTTCCCCAGTAAGAGTATGACTAGTAGTCGTGTTGAATCATGTAAATAAACTGTTGTTTTATTGTAGTTGTATAAGATGAGGCTTTGGCAACATTTTTTTCTTCGAGTAGTTATTCCTAAAATTCATTAAAAAGTACTCCTAAGATTAATCTTCTCTTACAGACAGACACATTACACACTGTAATGGCCCTTTAAAAGCCAGAAGACAATGTTAGGGCTCTCAGTTTCATGTCAGTTTTTACTGCTGTGATGATAACAGTATAGTCCATCATAGTTTCTTCTAGTGGATTTGGAACCTGACTCAGTCTGCCCATTCCTATCCCTTAGAAAATCAAAGTCACTTTTACTAAAACTCTTCTTATAATTCAGATATATCTATAATTTGCAAGCACCACACAAATAAGATTTTTTGTTTGTTTGTTTTTTTGAGACAGTGTTTCTCTTTATTGTTTTGGAGGCTGTCCTGGAATTCACTCTGTAGACCAGGCTGGCCTCAAACTCACAGAGATCCACCTGTCTCTGCCTCCCGAGTGCTGGGATTAAAGGCGTGCACCACCAACGCCCGGCTCACAAATAAGATTTTAATAAACATCATGATATAAACCCTTGCAACAACAATGTTTGATGATGCTATTAAAGAAAAAAATGAATTTCAGACAGGTTAATTGACTCGTAAAAGAAAAGTTTTATGTTCTGACAATCACTTCAGAGAAGAGAATACAGTACCATTCCCTGTGAACACAGACTGATCTGAGTCCCCACCAACTCAGCTCACTGAGATGTCATGTTACAGAGACAGAACGTGAATATTGTTCTTAGTAAGCTTTGTTTTTGTGCATTTCTCTCCCCTTGAGCATGGGTGGCCCTGTGAACACACTGTGACATCACTCTTAGGATTACTGTTCATTAAATGTGTGCAAGCTAAATGTTCTTATGCCATTAACATGAATGGGAAATCACTGGTTGCTGCAATATTGATGATGGGACAGGATATTATGGCTTTTACCTCCAAGAAGTCCCAGTGCTTCACAATGTAGAGACAGGAAAAAGCCCCATGTGGCAGAGAGAAAAGACAAACCACTATTTTGAAATATGAAAAACAGTATGCTAAGAAATTTGATTCCCTTTGGGAAAATCCATCACCAGAACATTATTCCATGTACGGGGTAGGTCACTGACCAACTGTTGTCCCTTTGCTCTATCCTTTCCATGTCCCTAAAGAGGGAAGTACATCTCAGCCCACAACACAAGTATCCTGAGAGGCTGACACATACAACCATATACAGAACTCTTATCCTTCTTAATACCTCACACACAGCCCAATGGCTGAAGGCTCTAGCTTTTTTTTTTCAAAGAATATCTAGGGTTACCAAACACAGCTGGTAACATGAAACAAGGACCCTGTGGGACTTTTAATGCCTGTTAAAAGGTCTTAAACTGACACTGTACACTAAATACCCACACAAAACAGACAAATTGTGTGTAATTATAAATTTATGTCAGAAATGCCAAAATTAAGAATAAAGCAGACACTACATAGACTTCTAATAATCTATGTGCTGCCAGGTTCTTACCAAAAAATTCCTACAGCTGTATCACCTGTATCAGAGGGGGAAATAAAAGACAACCCGAGGAGAAATAAATTCAGATTGTTTATTTGTAAACCCATCTCTTTAAACATGCTCTCAGGATTCCTTCCCCCAGAGAAAATAAGAGGAATCAGAAACATACGGAGGGAATGAGAGAGGTGACTGCTGGGCCAGGAGAACAGAAAGTGATAAGATGTCACTTAAGGTCGGTTTTTGTAAGCTAGAAGACACGTGAAAACTGGTGGTGGATACCGTTGCATGTCAGAGGTGCTTAACATCATTAGATTCACACTTAAGACATTTCAAAGAACAAAAAGCTTGTATTATCTGGATTTTGCCACTGGAAAGAGAACTGGAGAAAGCATTTCAGAAAAAAAATTGAACCAGAATAGTAAGTAATAGCAGAAGGCAGAAATATCCCCACACTATGAAAAGCTTCAGAGCACAGAAACGTGTATCTCATAAACTAGCTTCTGGCTAAGGATGCTTAGTGCTTTAAGAAAGTCACTGCTTATCTCAGGCCTTTTTGCCTTCTGGTTTATGACCAACTCTTTGCATCTTCTTCCTTATGCATGACTTCCTTCCCCATCATCTCCAACAATCCCCATTCCAAAACGGCCAATGCTCTCAAGGTCCAAATTATTTTTTTAACTTGTGCACTTCATCTGAATGCCTTTTTCACAACACAGACTGAAATTTCAGAGTGAGCATTTATTTTTTATAAAATTCTGGGTGTTTTAGCCAAAGGAATGGTTATTCGCTATTTTTTAAATCTCCATTAAATGGGATGCCTATTTTTTAAAATTATGCTCCCAGGACAAAAGTATTTTAATAGACATTTAAATTAAGCATATAAATTAAGAAACACTTTCCATGTTAGCAAAATTTGAAGGAGTAGTGAGTGAACAAAATTTAAAGTCAATTTTCCACCATTTGATAAAATGACATTAATATCCTGAATCTATGATGATTTTTCCAAATTAAACATCTCCAATATCCAATTAATAAATGAGTTAATGGTTGAATAGATGGTTGTTGAGGGAAGAAATTCAGATTCTGGTTAGTGAACATCTGAAAGAGCACTTAACATTCTTAGACATCAGACATTCTCATAGGCTGGCCACAATTTTAAATATTCACTATTTTCCAGTACCTAAAATATTTTAGGCTCAGCTCTGTACTGCTTGAGAATTTTTTAGTATTCAGTAATGGAGAAGCTAATAACTGCCAACTTAGCATGTTTTCTGTGTTCATATTTAGAGTAGAAGTTACACAGATACAGCCAACAAATAAAGGTAACCAAAGTCAGTGATTCAGATTCATGTTAATGTTTGTTGTTTAATGAGCAACAGGATATCTAGGCACACAGGCATACAGGCTGAGAGTTCACGACAGGACTCAAACAATCCATTCCCAAACACATAAACCAGCCTCCCTCTCTTTGATTTGCTAATTTCCCTATCATATTGGCATTTCCCCCTCTCCCAATACTACACATTATTTCATCTTCATCTTTTCCATGAATGTTTCACTGACACATTGACAGTCTGGACCAAGGAGTTGGTAGCTTACATTTTTTGGTTCCCAGTTTTTAAAGCTTAAACCACAAAGCAGACTTATTGTTCTTGGTATTTTTATTAGCAGCTAAGAAGAACCAAGACTGGAAACTGGAGACAGAAGAAATATTTAAGCTACAAGGCTATGACTGGACTTTGAAAATCTTAGATGACGGAAAGGAGATGGTCCTGTGTTCTGATGGCGGCCTCTGAGTCTGTGACATGTGTGAGTTAGAAGACCAAAGAGAGGGGGTTGGAGGGAAGAAATCTGGGTAGACAAATCAATTGAGTATCCCGATCCATCTCTTGGGGGCAGCCCTGGAACAGAAAATTTCATACGTAGCATTCAGTTATACACTTACCTATTACACTTACATAAGGAAAGACTGTTCATCCCACTAGTGAAAATAAACAGTTTAACAATACAAATATTTGTATTGTAAACATACGTGTGTATGAGAAAGAAAGGAAGGAGTGTGTCCTGTTGATGCATGAGGTCTCTCAAGCTATAATTCTGAGTAGAGAAACCAAATGTAAGTGTGAGGGACAAGTTGGACAGGGTCAAGACAAGACTCAGAGCAGGAAGAGGGGAACCTGGGCACATGAGCAGGACAATGCTTCAGAAGACAAGACAGCTTTATTATTCAAATTTCTTTTCTAATTGTGTCACATTTAGTTTTCATGGTGACTCTATGAAGTGGAGCAGGTATCAACTTCAGTTTACACAGGAACAAATGGAGACTAAAAAAAGGATAAGAGACTTGTCAGTCACCACAGAAATGATCACTTGGGGCTTTAAGAAACTCCAGTCCATGTACTATATTGCTAAGCTGCACTTGACACTTGGTTGCTTCTGCATTTTCTTGGACTCACTGGCTTTGGTACAGTCTTCATTTGCAAAAGAATGAGCATGACTTTAACAGTCACAAGTGATGCTCAACTACTAAATTAACATTCTAGGAAGATGCATTGTTAATGTTTTCATTCAATTTAGCAATACATAGAAAGTCATATCACATTGACCACATAGACAAAAATTACTAGCCAAGAACACTTGAGTACAAGATTTTTTTGTTTTGTTTAGGGGTTTTGTTTTGCTTTGAGACAGGGTTTCTCTGTGGGTTTGGAGACTGTCCTGGAATGTTCTTTGTAGACCAGGCTGGCCTTGAACTTACAGAGATCTGCCTGCCTTTGCCTCCCCAGTGCTGGGATTAAAGGCATGAGCCACCACCGACTGGCAAGTTTTATACAAGATTTTTAAAACAACACTTTAAGACAGGAGAGATGGTTGCGCTTCCAGGATACCTGGGTTTGATTCCCAGGATCCATGTAGCAGCACACAACCACCGGCAACTCCATTTCCAGGAAACTGGATACCCTCTTCTGATCTCTGTAGGCACCCAGGCATGCACGTGGTTCACAGACATACATGCACTCGTATACACAAAATAAAAAAAAATTAAAAAGATAAAATGTTATCTAGCAATTACAAGAGTGATCAAAATTTTTAAATGATAGTTCATATGTATTTTCAATGGAAAAGTGTTGTGTCACTATCAGCTATGGCTGTTACTGTTTTGACTTTCTGAGACAGGGTCTCTCGTAGGCCAGGTTATCCTCAAACTCATTATGCAGCTGAGGATTATTTTTAAATTCCTGATTCCCCCACCTCTACCTTTCAGGGGCTTTTCAACATTTTTAACATGAAAGCTCTATACTTTTCTCTATGTAAATTTTCTCTCAATTATCATGTGATGGATACTGATTCTGAAGAAACTGTTACAATTAATGTCCACACCTACAGCAGATGTCTCAGAAATTCAGAGCTAAAGAGAACAAGATGCCACTTGTGATTTCTTCTTCTTCTTCTCTGGCTGTTCACACCACTTGACACTGATGTTGTTGTCCCCAAATGCATCTTCTCTGATCTCTACAAGATTCTCTCTGCCATCTAACTTTGCTCTCCTCTGCATCACCATAGCTCCTGAACTTCCATGCTTCCATGCTGGAGAGAATGTCTCTTTTACTACACAATAGCAAACTGCAGACACAAAATTTTTTTTGAAGTTTTCATTCATAATTGCATAGACAATGGGATTACAGATGGAGTTGAAAAATCCAATTATTTGCACTACGGCAAAAATCATCTTGATCGTGACTTCATCATATTCCTTTTCAAAATTACCTGAAATAAAGTAATACTTTAGAATGTTTATTGACTTGATCAAGAGGTAACTGTACATTTCTGTCATAAGTATTTACAAAGATTTGCACTTGCACTAGTGGCTAGCATTCTCATGACTACTCATGAAAGAGGTATCCGGTGTCTGGATAAAAGCACTTTTGTAAAATGTGTTCACCCATGCATTGGCTGGTGTCTGGCATATTCTGTAGGATTTGAAGACTTTCAGTTCAGTAACACCAAGCTTCACATAAGCACAGTTACCTTCATATGTTCTCTTCCATTCCAGAAACACAAAAAAAGAAATGTTTGTATTTGACACTTGATTATCCAAGTGAAAAGCAACCAGTGAGAAATCAATGATTTCATCTGTTATAGAGGTAAATGAACTAGAAATTCCCCCATAAAAAGAAAAGAGAAGAGTGATGAGCACTCACTGTATTCAATCATCATGTGAACGATGTGGAAAGGTGCCCAGCACACAGCAAAGAGGGCCACCACTGTCACCATCATGATCACGGCTCTCTTCTTCTTCCTAGACCCACAAAGAAACATTGGTTAGCTTGGCCTCAGCAAATGTGTCAGAGTGATAGCAAAACCATTGCTCTTTGAGGCCATGTCACTTAACCACACTTTGTCAAGTGTTGGTGAACTTCTTGAGGCTGTCTGTGGGCAGATTATCAGCTTTCTCCTGTCTTTATAGTCTTCATACCTGACACATGCCTGTGATAAATGCTCAGCCTAGGTCTGGAACTCTACTATACTGCAGACATACAGTATGGTTTCATTTTCCCAATAAGCCACTGGACAGAGGCAGAAACTGGGGAAAAGAGAAGTTCAATTCACAATTGGGTGGTTAATAAATGATATCCTCTGGTTTTAAATTTACAAGTGTCTCTTCAGTGACATGGATTCCATTCCCTCAGCATGTGTGTAAAGCAGTCCATACCTCCAGCAAATAAATAGCAATACTTATAACATACAGCAAGTCTCAATGATAGAGTTAAAACTATAATGTGATCAACCATGGATTCAAGCTGACTTTTTTTCATTTCTCTAAACTAGATTTATATCTACACAGATCTACATGTGTGCTCAGTGCTTTCGGTTTCAGAAGTTCAGGCTCATCATCCGTCATTTCTGTCTGGCAACCGTTTCTCCTGGGGAAGCGATACTGCTAGGTCTTAGGGTGCTTTGTTGTCCCCTGGGAAAGTGGACCGCTAAGTCTGAGGGTGCTCAGCTGTCTTCAGGCTCCAGTGTATACACAGAGGAAAGTTTTCTTAACTGGTCACTAGAGGTCACTGCACACTTCAAGAACTCAAGAAATCCAGTCAACTCACTAATCTAAGCAATGTACTGCTTGCTTGTTTTAAGGGTCATTCAACATAGATTATGCCATGGGAACTACAAACACAGCAGTAAAGTTTTCTTGAAATTGATGCTAATAAATAATATGAGATAGCACTCCCTTTGAGTTAAAATACAAAGTATCAATTATAGTCATTTAAAATAAGCCACATTCTGGGATTTCCATGCCATGTCAGCATTTTAACCTCACTCTCAAGTGGGAAGGACTAAGGGCAGATGTAAATATATGGCCTTGTATGTGTGGGGAACGTGGTGTCCTTTGAAGCAAGGTTTTCTGCATATTTCTAACACCACTGGCAGTGAGGGAGGACAGTGCGTCTTGACATCACCGCACAGCGTTATGGTTTCAAGTAAGTCCAGGCTCTCAAAGTGAATTATAAATGATACGTGGTCCCTTCCAGTACAACTAATAAAACATATTTTGAACACTGGTGAACACTTTAATAAACAGACCTGGCTATTTTGAACATTTCCTTTCCGTGAATAGTTTGGAGCACTGAGCCGTCCCCGACTCTTTTCTTGATCCAAAGCTCATAACCAATTTTACTGTACAGGACAAGCAGCAGCAAGAGAGGCAGCAGGAAGAGGGTGACAAGGATGAAGGTAGTGTAGATTTTCTGATGCATGGGGCTGCTCCACTCTTCCAAACAGCAGATGTGTTCTTTTTCATATAGGAAGTCATACTTAACCTTTTCAGTAAAAACAGTTCAGTCATAAAACACAATAATCACCATCCAAAGAGCAGAACACAGCTAAGTGTCACTCCACTATGACATCTTAAAAACCGCTCACACAGTCACTGATGAATTTGGACCAGCTTTTATGATTATTTTGTTGTCAACTGTAGGTTTTCCCTGGACCACTAAGGCTTTGGTTTTGTTCTTTGCGGTTTTAAATGGGATGCAGTACAGTGTCTCCAATGTTCACCTTTTACCTTTCTCAATTTCTACTTCATGGGCCACACATTTTCAGTTGGCTGAGAGAGTACACTTGGGAAAATATTGTGTATCATAAGCTATCCAGTTTAATATTCATTCAACTAATACATTTTCTTTCTCAACTTTTGATGAAACAGACTTGGCAAGCATGATTTTTCTTCAAAGTAAGAGGAACCTAGCCATATTTCTATCATTATTTCATGTCAGAACCACCAGACTATAAAAGATATGGAAAGGTAGCTGGTAGCTTTCAAATGAACAAGGTGCTGGATTTAAGCTATTGTCAATCTATAGATGTTTTCATTGTATTTGTTTAATTATTTGCTATTCTGAGTCCCGTGGACTCACCTTTCGAGTTCTAAATTCACTAAATTTACAACCATCATAGATGGCATCAAATGCTAAAAGGCTCCTTTCAAGAGGCAAAGTAAACATCTAAAGTATATACTGAATCTTATCATTGGGAGAGGAATGCAAAGGAGACACTTTATTAAATCTCTGTCACTATGGAATTCCTTGAGGACATATTTCTACTTATAGTCCCAGAAAATCTCATCATCAGTTTTCAATGTCAGTTCAAAAGTTAAGACAATTTGAGTTGTGGTTCAGGTTTTACTGGTGATGATGACTATGAATGATAGCACTTAATGAAAACAGATTTGAAAATGAAATTATTTCTGACTTCTGTGGGAAGAGCTCACAAGGGTCAGTGACCATAGTGGCCATGTACTGACACATGCCAAAAGCTCAGAACTAAACTGTGAATCTCCAGATTGGTTCATACTATGCCAGAGACAGACAAAGGCTCTCCAAATACATACTAAGCTGGATTCATGACAACCAGGTTCAGATTCTCTTTGTCATTTCTTATGGCCATAGGGAATAAACTGTGAGCCTTGCACACATGCAAGACAAGTGCACTACCATTGAGTTGCTCCCCTACCCTGATTCTGTTGTATTCAAGAAAATGTGTCTCTAATCTTTAACTGTTTACAACTATGGCTGGGGTTGAGCTCTATCTATATTTCCATTCCCATCACCACCTACACCAACTCAAAGACAATCATATCCATCATCCAAGACAAACCTTGCCATTGAGCACAATTCAAATGACTCATGTTACTAAAGGTACCTTCCTCCAGAAATCACAAATCTACTGGGCTAATCTTCTGCATTTTCCTGTCCTGAGTAAACTTCTGGTCAAGGCTGTCCAGAATTAGGGAAACATGGCACTTTGATGAGGTTTGGGGTGCTGTGAGCTATATTTTTATGCACTGAGGGGAAAAATAAGAACACTTTATACTGAATCTTCTGATTTCCATCTCTGAAGATTGTGAGTCAACTCACAATCTGAGAGAGCCCAGGAAAAAGGAGCAAAAGAGCAAGATTGTTAAAGGCAAAGAATGGCTTTGATGCTGTCTATCACCCAGGAACAGGCTCGACTCTCACATTCAATTACGTTCTCTCTAATGGAGTTTCAACATGATTGTGGTCCTGGGATGCACACTGATATATTTATTTCAAATCTGAAATCGGACTTTTTCCTGACAAGAAACAAATAGGTTTTGACTGAGTTTAGTAATGAGCATGACTTTGTCTATGCTACCAGATAGACCCATTTTCTACAAATTAAATGATTTATGTATTTAGAATATGTGATGAGTGTTTTATTAAATTGATAAATCTGTTTGAATTCTCTGGCAGGGAATGAGCTCCAGGATTGAGAATTAGCTTTTGTCATTTATAAAACATGGTGTGTGAGGTATGGGTGGCGTCAGCAGAAGGAGGTAGCCATGGCAGCTGTTAGAATAAGTAATGGATTGGAGAATGTAGCCAGAACCTCAAAGGTGTCATCAGAAATGCTAGACAGAAAGAATCAGCCCTGGGCAGCACCCATCCCAGGACCAAAACATTGGCTCAGCCCCCTCTCCTCTCTTTGTTGCTTCCAAAGAGAGATGCCAAGAGTGTGGAGAGAAACATCAAAGCATCTCAAGCTAAGGGAAAGACAGGATTTTGAATAACTCCAGTTTTAGTGCGTGTGCTGCTAGAGCAAACGCCACATTTTAAAGCGATCATTATTAGGATTTTATGTGACCATGGCACTGTCCTGGGCATCTAATAGCAGAGCACATACAGTGCTTGTGACTGACAGGGCCATAAGAATTTAAATATCTGTCTGACTGGAAGTGTTGCAGGGCCTGATCATCTCCATCCGTGTTTCACTATGACATTCTCAGGTGATATTTCCACAGGTCGCAACAGAATAAAGCTAATTTTTGCTCTCATAGAGGTCAGCTTGCTCAATAGATCATTTACACAAAAAATATTGGGACACTGTATTTTATTTATTCTTATATTTTAATATTAGAGTGTGCACTAGCTGAGCAAGCTCTGTAACACTGGGACAATGCCCTCATCCTTGGGTACTTTCTTTAATGTACTTACTTTCTTCCAGGTCTCATTTGGAATCCTCTTTGAAAATATGGCATGCTCAGGAAGGATTCAGATTTGCCTCTGTCTATTTAAGGGTACAAAAGAATGAACACTTTGCTTTATAAATTAAGAATCCAAGCTGTGTGATGGATCCCCTATTGACTTTGAAGACTAATGCCTGTGCTACACTACAAGCCATGCTAATGTACACCCAAGTAGACAGGCTAAGCTGTCCATAACCACTATCCTAACGTGTTCTTTTACTGTAAATTCATATACATGGCAGAATAATCTCACATAAGGTATGGGAAAAGAAGAAAGAGGGAAAAATTAGCACCTGGACATGCTTCTAATTCAGATTTCAATTTCTTAATCAATAGGGCAACAGGAAAATCTGCTAGCAAGGAGACAATCTGTTAGTTTTAAGTGACTTACAATAAAAGAAAGTCAGCCAAACAGTGGTGGCACACATCTTTAATCCCTGAACTCAGGAGGAAGAGGCAGGTAGATCTCTGAATTTGAGGCCAGCCTGGATTACAGAGTCAGTTCCAAGACATACAGGGCTACATAGAAAAAAACCTTGTCTCAGAAAATAATAAATAATAATAATAATAATAAAATAAAGTCAAAAGTCATCGAACTCTGATGTAGCAAGACTGGAATATTTTAAGAAAAACACATTAAGTTAAGAATATGGAACGAAGGTCATTTTGTAACTTGACTTTTTTGAAATCTGAACTTTAAATATTAACTGTACAGTATCCAGTAGATTTAAATAACAGAGAAGACAATTTTGAAACATCATCTAATTTCAGTGAAATGGATGAGATCATATATATTCACCACAGTATTCTCCAAGGAAAGAGACTGAGAGAATATCTCAGCTCTGAGTCTACCTCAAGTCGTTGCACATGCCACATGGGTGATCCTATGATGATAGCCACCAGCCACACCACACCTGCAAAAATATGGCAGTTATCAAAATACAGCATAGATCAGAAAACTACATGCACGCTTAACTCTCTAATTATAATGATGCCTGGTCCCTTTTGCTCCTATCTTCTCTTCCATTGGGGTAGAGCAATTACCTCCTCAAAGGGTCTCTGTTCTTCCACTGCTTTAGAAAGTAGTGCTGCAATGGTCTTCCTAAAAGTGTGTGTGTGTGTGTGTGTGTGTGTGTGTGTGTGTGTGTGTGTGTGTGTGTCCCCACACACATATGGATGTGCTCTCCCATGGGTATGAGGATCCTAGATAAGAACATCAGGTATCATGATCTAGCACTTTCTACATTATTGCATTGAGAGAGAGTTTCTCACTGAAACTGGAGCTCATTATTTTCATCTAGACTCCCTGGCCAACAACCACAGTGCTGGGGTTGCAGACATATCTGGTCATGCCTTTCTTTTTATGTGGGTCCTCATTCTTGTACAACAAATACCCTTACTTACTGAGCCATCTTCCCAGCCCCTGCATATTTTTAGTATTAAAAACTCTTTTATATGATTGAATTTCCTGGAAGATAAAAATCCAAAATCTATAGCAATGGCCTGATATATTCTCATTTTCTCCTTTTATCAGGGCATGTTTTCCCACCTAAACCCTACTAGGGAAGGATGTATTTGGCTCATTTCCATTCTTACATCCCAGAATGCCCTGTCCTGCTCCACATCATATTTGGGTCACTCTGTCATCACTGTCCATCTGTGGACTTGTTTCCAGGATAACTCAGAAGTCACCTTTCATACATGACATGGAGATTGCTGACATTTTCAAACAAATTCTACTTCTCTAGTGGTTCTGTACCTACCCTTGTTCATGTCTTCTCAACTTCCCCTGACATGCTGGAGGGCAGAGACAATCCATCCTTCATATCTTCAAATGAGAATCTAAGGAAAATTTCCAGCCCTTAGGAGCTGTTTCACGTTTGTTGGATCAATGAATAATTTCATACACATTTATATTTATTTCTGTGTACGTATATTTTGTTTGCATGGATGCTGGCAGTGAAGTCAGTTATGAGCCACCATGGGAGTTTTGTGAATCAAACCTCACTCCTCTGGAAGAATAGACAGTGCTTTTAACCACTGAGCTATCTCTTCAGCCCTGAAACGAAAAACTTTTAAATATATTGCAGACTATCTTCTATGACCACTTCTTTAAGTCTAAAATGTATGCATCATTTTAAAAGATTTACTTTTATTACTTTATTTATGTGTATGTGTGAGTGGATGTACCTATGGAGGCCAGAAGAAGGTATCAGATTCTTTGGTGCCAGAGTTACAGGCAGTAGTTAGCCATTCAACTTAAGTAGAATGGAAATCAGGTCCTCCCAAAGAGCAGTATATTCTCTTATCTGATGAGCAATCTCTTTAGCCCCCAAAACATGTATCAAGATTGAGACAGAAAGGACAAAGGTGTATATGCAAAAGACTGAACACTTCAAATCACATCCTAATACTTACACATTGTGAGAAACTACTCTTAGAAAGTGCATGGATATGGTTTGTTCTGTTATGAAAAATGGCATTAGCACAGAGTTGGCATACCTGGTGGTCTTAACTAGTATTACACTTTAAATCTGAAATACCAATTAAAGATTCCCATGTTAAGTGTTTGGTTGTTAGGTGACGAATGTGAGAAGTGAAGGCTTTATCTTTAAAGGCAGATTATTCCATTGATAAATTTAATCAGAACGGTCTATGAGAAGGTGGGTCCAGACAGAAGGCATAGGTCACTGATTATTTGACTTTAAAAGGTATTTGTGTCCCTAGACCATTATTCTCTGTCCCCATGCCTCCTGTCTAGCAAGAAGTAAGCCACCCAATCTGGCACAAGCTCCCCAACAAGTGCTCTGCCTCACTACACAAGGGCCCAGAAACAACATAGCTAAGGACCATCAACTGAACCAGTGAGTAAAGATAAGCATTTGTCTGGGTTCTTCAACTCAGATGTTTTATCACAGTACCACAAAGTGACAAACACACCTAGCATTTTGAAAGCTCTTTGATTGGTGTACTGCTGCTTCATTTTAAAAGGGTGGACAAGTCCCTGGTGCCTCTCCACAGCAATACAGGTCATAGTAAGGATTTCTGTTACAACGGCAGTGCACTGGACAAATGGCACCATCTTGCAAATGAAGGCACCTATGACAAGGAAAGAAAAATATGTATGTGAAAAACAATGTGATATTCAGTCTGTCTTATTTTAGCTGTCATGATTAATTAATTCTGAGCCTCTACTCAAAGCTTTATGATTATAACTGTATTATAGACACAAAATAATAGAAGTGTGTGTGGGCTTATGTTTTTTCTGACTGATTTTAATGTTCTAAAGGCCAACCAAGCATGTTTACTAAAACAATGAGAGGACAAATTCATACCTAGCTACTAACACCAGGCAGGAAGAAGCCATGTAAGTAGGCAGAGATAGTGGAACATGCCTACCATCCTAGCACTCTGGAGATAAACACAGAAGGATCCAGAGAGTTTGAGTCCATTCTGGATTACATAGTGAAATCTAAATCAACCTGGGTTATACAGTAAAACCCTGACTCAAAAAGAAAACAAAACAAAGGACAATACCACCATGACTCTCAGTGGAGGGGAAAGTATGATTTGGCCTTATGGTCTGAGTTGCTGGGTCATCTGTTTCCTCCCCTTTCGCTCCTCTGTATAATCGTAACCAAGAAGTAACTGCCATAGGACCCCCAAAGGTCAGCTTTTACTTTTTATTTTCCTTTGGATCACTGTTCAAAGTTTTATATAAAGTGTTCTATCACCATCCTTTTAACTGACTGTGCTTTCTCTAGTGTAGCTGGGCAAGATGCTGCACTGCGAACACACTGCATTTTATTTGTGTGATAATTCCAAATAATGGAATATGTTGTTAAATATCTTAGAATCTAACAGTTAGATGTTAATCTGCTCTTTCTGGCCCTCTACCAATTGAATCGTAAGCCCTGTTCTGCCATGTCTGTTGCTCTTCACATCTGTGATGGCTATGTTTGCTTGGCAGCTTAACTCTATATGGAATCAAGGAACAAGAGGCCTTTGCTTAATTTGAAGTAGGAAGATCCACTTCTAATCCAGAGCTTTTGAGCTGGGAAAAGACACATTTTAAACCAGATCCGATTTGGACCACACCTGCTGCTGGAAGTCTATATAAGGACACAGAAGAGGGAAGCTTTTGCTCTTTGCCTGCCTGCTCTCACCTCACTAGTGAGTCCATTTCTTCAGTGGCATTAGTCTAATTCTTCCAGCACATACTGAAGACCAGCTGAGACACCGTAGCCTTCTGCACTGAGCAATTATTAGTTTCTTGAACTTTTTGTTCACAGCCAGCCATTGTTGGATTAGCTGTCCCAAAGCCAGTAAACACTTCTAATAAATCCTCTTCCTACATATAGAGAAATTCATTCTATAAGTTCTGTTGCTCTAGAGAACCTTGAGTAATAAAGCATCTGGCCTTCCCGCCCTTTCCTTTTAATTATTCATTGCTATCAGAGAATTATAAGAACCTGAGAGGTTCTGTAATCCAAATTCATATCATAGTAATTCTGCTTCTCTGGATAACATTAGATTCCTGTAGTTACCTTCACAATGAGCCCAACTCACTTTAACAACAGTATTTTAAAAACATTTTCATAGTCCTTTGAAAATTTCTTACAAATTCTTCTCATAACCTTTCACACTTTGCCAAGCTGTGCAAAACACCTCTGTGGTAGCTTCCTTGTATACACCCATCTGAGGCCTTTGCATGGCATGTCTTTCTCCTTGAAGTGTTCCTTCTAAAATAACTTCCACACATAGTTCACAGAAATTTCTGTTCAAGTGTCATTATGATGATTAATTCTGTATGTCAAGTTGACTGGGATAATGGATGTCTTAAATAGCTGGCACAGCAATATTTCTGACTGCATCCGTGGATGTGTTTCTGAAAGAAATTAACCTTCTGATAAACGAACCCAATAAAGATCTCCTCTCTCCAGTGTGGATAGCCATGTAATGTGGTGAGTGCTCAAATGAGAAGTAAGCTAGAGGAAGGCAAACCTGCTCCCTGAGATATATATCCCCCGACCTTGGACATCAGGATCCAAGGTCCTTGGGTTTGCACTGTAACTACACCACCAAGTTTCTTGAGCCCCCCAGCTTAAAGAAATCAGATAATGAAACACGCTAGCCTAAATAAGAGTATCAAAAATAAAACTCCCTGTGTGTTTCTCTGTATTCACTGTTAATTCTGTTTCTCTGGATAACGTTGAATTCATGTATCTCATCTTCACAATGAGGCCAACCCATCTTGACAACTATATTTTTCTTTTAATTTCATAACTTGTTGAGAATGTCTTAGACTCTACTTTAATCATAGCCACCCTACTCCTCCTTCGGGTCCACTACATTTTCCTACATCCCCAAATTCCATGTTCTCTTTTCAAAAGAACCCACTGGGACCATCTGTGCTTCCATACACTCCTGGGTACGTGGTCTTCAGCTGGAGTATGGTTGACCTACCCAGGGCTACACCTCTAAAGAAACCTGGCTCTCTTTTCCTCAGAAGCCAACACTGGTCCACAAATCCCCAGTTAAGGGGGTGGAGGTCAGTAACTCCTCCCTCCATGCTGGAATGTTGATTGGCTTGATATTGTATTGATCTTGTGAAGATAAACACAATGGCTGTGAATTCAAGAATGAAGAGGTTCTGCTGTGTCCAAAACTCACGGAGTCTGCCCAGTCCTCCCTGATCTCTTTACTGCATTTCTTCCCCCCTACTTTTTAAAGCCTCCAGGGTGAGGACCACTCCTCTGACACTTCTTTATTCTTTGACCAGTTGTATTAACTGGTTTCTGAATTAAACACCATTCAATGTACAGGGAAAATGCTCTGATGAAATCTCAGAACTGGACTAAGATATGGGTCAAGTGAATTCAGAGGGCAGCTTGATACTTTACCCATTTAGCAGAATAACATGGTAGGATGGCCCCTGTGAGTTCCTCAACCATGGGTTCTTAGTCAGATTTATAGTACCAGAAATAAAATCAGTAGGTTTCACAAAGCAATGGGTTATTTCCATAATAATTGTGCTACTACTGAGGACATGGACATGTGTTGTCCTGCTGATAATTAACAAAGGAATTTTTAATAAAACTGTGTCCCATTCCAGTGACATCTCTTCTCATTCTTTAAAACATATTTTGTCATGTTCAGGTGCCCTGCTCTGAAACACCTGAGGCCTGGGGACTGCGCACTGTGGATCCAATCCCAGCAGGATCCAGTCCACCCAGAGACAGCCAGCCTCCTAGTACCTTTCTCCACCCATGGGGTGAGATAAGTGTGGACCTGTTTCCAGCCTGCCTTCCAGTGCCCTGCTGGGAGCCATCTGAGGTCTGGGGACTGTGCACTGGGGAAATTATCTGGCTGCCCAGCCCACCCAGAGACTGCCAAGGCCCCAGAACTAGTCCTGCTTCCATCCACGGGAAGAGGAGAGCCATCAAGAGTACTGGACCTGCTTGTACCCACCAGAAGGGAACCTTGGTCCCATACCCACCAGGAGAGGAAGAGACTCCTCCTGCACCCACTGGAAGAAGACATGGGAACAAGACAATATAAAGCACCTTCAACAACAGAAAAACCAATATGACACCTCAAGAGTCCAGGGACTCTATACCAGCAAGACCTGAATATCCCAACACAGAAAAAGCAGAAGAGAATGACCTTAAAAACAACTTCATGAAAATGATAGAGGCCCTCAAAGAGGATATAAGAAAATCCCTTAAAGAAATAGAAGAAACAACAAACCCAAAAAAAAATACAAGAAATCAACAAATCTCTTAAAGAAAGCCAAAAAAAAAAAAAAAAACAAAAAGCAATCAAACAGATGAAGGAAACATCTTTCCTTCAGGTTTCAAGACCTGAAAACTGAAATAGAGACAATAAAGAAAACACAAACGGAGGGAATGCTGGAAATAGGAAAGCTGGGTAAACGATCAGAAACTACAGATGCAAGCATAACCAACAGAATACAAGAGATGAAAGAGAGAATCTCAGGTGTTAAACAAACACTAGGAGAAATAGATTCATCAACCAAAGAAATTATTAAGTCCAACAAATCCCTAACACAAACTATCCATGAAATATGGGACACTGTGAAAAGACCAAACCTAAGAATAATAGGTATAGAAGAAGGCGAAGAAACCTAACTCAAAGGGGCAGAAAACATATTTGACAAAATCATAAAAGAAAACTTTCCTAACCTAAAAAAAAGACATGCCAATGAAATTACAAGAAGCTTACAGAACACCAAATAAAGTGGTTGCCACATAATAATCAAAACCCCAAACATACAGAATAAAGAAAGAATATTAGGAGCAGCTAGGGAAAAAGGTCAAGTAAGATATAAAAGCAAACCTATCAGAATTACCCCTGACTTCTCCATGGAAACTATGAAAGCCAGAAGGTCCTAGAGGGATGTTCTACCAACACTAAGAGACCATGGATGCCAGCCCAGACTACTATACCCAGCAAAGCTTTCAACCACTATAGATGGAACAAACAAGATATTCCATGACAAAACCGAATTCAAACAATACATATCCACTAATCCAGCCCTACAGAAAGTTCTGGAAGGAAAACTCCAACCCAAGGACATTAACTACAACCAAAAAAAAAAAAAGCATAGGCAATAGATAATCCCACTTTACCAACAGCCAAAAGGAAAAAGGAGTGAAAATCCACACACAATTACAACAACAACTCCAAAACAAACAAAAATAAGCAATCACTCAATATTAATGGTCTTAACTCACCCAGAGATCTACATGGTTGATGCCAACTAGCAATCTAAGCAATAGTCTGAGAGGCTACCTTAAAAGCCCTTCTCTGATAATGAGATTGATGAGTTCCTGGTGTGTCATCCTAGAGCCTTCATCCAGTAGATGATGGAAGCCCTAGCAGACACCCACAGCTAAACACTGAACTGAACTCTGGAATCAAGTTATAGAGAGGGAGTAGTGATGAGCAAAGTGGTCAAGACCTGACTGGAGATACCCACAGAAACAGTTGACCTGAACAAGGGATTACTCATGGACCCTAGTCTGATAGCTTGGAAACCAGCATAGGACTGTTCCAGACCCCCTGAAAGAGGTTGT